GTTTTATTTTCATCAGTCTTTTAAAAAAAAAAATTGCAATTTTTGAAATTTCGCGGCAAAAATCGTTCAGTAATAGTATTTCGGCATTCTAAATTGGCGTGAAAACTTTGGATCGGAAGGGGACATTTTTTGAAACCCCTCCGTTCCTGGGGAAACTGAACGTTTATGTGGTAAAAAAGTTCAATTTTCAGTATCTCTTCATGAAATACCTTTCATGATAACAATTTGACATAAAAAATTAACCTTACCACATTTGTACCAAATAGGTCTATTTTTTGGATACCAACCCATATAAGAGTCTTACTAAAAAATTAGGCTCTTTATGTTAAAAAGGTGTACTATTTAATATTTTATAATGAAAACTTGTCCTTATTAACTTAACCATAGGAGTTGGGACCACATAGACCTATTTTTTAGGCCGCGTCATTTGTAGGGACTCTCATGAGAGCACGCTCGTCTATGGCGGCGAAGCTTAATATATGGTTTATCATAGCAGAAAAGACTGGGAAAACAAAAAATCTTTGACAAGCAACTTAAACTTGCAAAATTTGGACCAAGCTGACGTTTGAGTATCTTCCAATCTAGAAAATAATGTATAATTTTTGGCGTATCATTAATTAGGCAAAGTGGCGTAGGGTGTCTTAGAGCCGGCCTTGCCCGATTATAGCATTCTTATTGGTTTTGTGTGTCTTATTGCCTTTTCTCTCAAAAAGACATCTTAGATTTTTTTTATTACAACTTTATCTTGTCATGGCTGTCAATAGACTGAATTGTTTTAGTTCATCAAGTAATTTTACATTCTCCCTTATTTTACGATGAACCCAAAAAAAAAGAAAAAAAAAAGAAAAAAAAAATAACAAAAATTGTAACGAACTGCGACAAGTCATACACGACATTTATGAACATTCTTATATGTGCACACATACGTACACACAACTAAGGATGGCATATTTATTCTACATTTTATATTAATAATATATACATAGAGAAGTCTAAAAAAGTTTGAAGAATTCAAGTTGTCAAGTTAGAACGTGTGTGCTGATGCATTTGTGGCATCTTATGAACTGTTTTTTTTTAATAAATTGATTCTAATTTTTTTTTTTTTTTTCTTTTTAGTGAGGCACGCTCTTACTTGAATTTCATGGATCAAAGTTTGAATTGTCGCATAAACAGCCACAAGAGTTAAGTAACTGGAACTTTAGAAACTGCAGCTAAATAAACTCAACTTACAAACGCCTTTAAGGAAGTTCTTCGAAAAAGTTTATTATTTCATTGTATAACAGAACAATGCATGAGAAAATTTGTGTGTTTGTGCGTATCACGATTCTAATAAAGTATATGTAGTCCTCGTCGTTTTAAGTTTCTAAAATAACTTAATCATGTCCACTTATTTGTCCACCCCTTCGTTTCCACTTTATTAACGAGAATTTCGCAATCGTAATGCATTGGAGACAGGATTGAAACCTAACATGGTCCACAATGTGACTCAACGTGGCTCAAATTTGCTAAAGTTAATTTTCTTCCCAAGTTAATTGCTGTGCCGCACATGTTTTAGTCATGAAATCATATCGTACTGTAATATAAGGCAAAAGAGAGCTAAAATGTATTTGCTCAAGGACCCTGGCAAGACTGGGTGGCTTTTTCAGGACTCTCACACATTTGCTACCCCAACTTGCCGTCCTTCAACCGAACTGTCTTCGTCTTCATTCAAGTCGAATGCACACAAATACTACGCGCCTCTTTCCTTCTTAGCGGCCCATAATCTCTCTTGACGATCACCGCACTCTTACTTTTCTGGGGGACACGGAAAAGCAAAAATACATTGATGAGTTGCCGCAGTCTGGTAGCTAAGGAGCGAAGCTGTTAAGCCGACATACCCCAGATTAATTCCCGGTGTGATAGATCACAGCATTATTTATGGAGTGTGATTTGCAGCTATAGCGAAGTCTTGATGAGTATACAGGATCGATGACATTTAGCGATTGAGCATAAACCGTCCAGGTTACGGCCACACTATATTCTTCTTTCCACACTACGTTCTTCTTAAACATCGCGATTATTATACTGAATGGCAGGCTGATTAGACAAATAAAATACGAAAGTGTGTTGAAAAAAGGGATCCGATCCTATTAAAATTTTCAACACTTATTTCCAATCCCAAAATACCATTTTTTGTCGGGAAATATTAAAATTTTCGAAAATGATGTGTGTATATCAAAAATTTCAAATATCATACTTCGGCCCCAAAACACGTCAGTAAAGCAAAACTCCTCAAATTATCTCGGAAATTCTGGCTTAGAGGCTTAACATAAAGATGCGCATTGGTGACTAGATATGTCGAAAAAGTGGTTATGTTTTGATCATCCACGGTCTTGTGTATGTATTCAGAAAGTTAATAAACCCCTACCACCAAGTGGCGTACTATTATATATTGCTATGATTTTGATCGACCCCCTAACATGCTCTGGTTTAACTGAATATTTTATCACTCTCTTGTAGATGAATCAGAGTCTGTCATTGCAAAATAAACGTTTTGTTATGAACCACTTTACTTCTTGACTTTTTGAAGAAGTATTTTAATAATCAATAAAATTTTTTAAAAATAATTAATATTAATATTCATTAGCATGACGAGAGCAAGAATATTTTATTTTCACTTATTTATTTATTTTTTTTGTATTTTTAAGCATGAAGGAAAATAAAAGTTCGTTTCGTTTATTTCGTTATTTTCCAAAAGGGCAAACATATTTTATGCGAACCGTGATAGTGAGGAACAGATTCGCGAAACATTGTTGCAGAAAATTTGATCGTTCTCGTCATAAGCAGGTAAGTACCGCTAATGTTATTTATGTGAATAGTATTTCAAAGAAGACCGATCACTTGACGAATGTCCTCTGCACGTGTAACAGAGTGAATGGTCAGAAAGAAGTGTGGAAAAAGTAAGGAATAGAAAGGGACCGCGGTCTACTAGATACATGCGCATTCGGTAAGTGTTATGCCTTTCACGAGTGACTGCCGCCTATATAGCTACACAAACCAAGCACGTTAAAACCGGATCAGAATTTGCGTTCGCGAACGCCAACTTGATAGTTGCGATTTTTAACTACTAGGCCATGCGGCAGCTTAAATTATGCAAGCAAATCAAGCCAAGGATACGCGATAAATTACTTTTACTTACTTCGTATCCGGACATTTGCATCACAATAGCTATAAAATACATTTCACCATGAACCAAATAGATAAACACTTATTCATCTCTCTGCCTATTGATAGAATTTTAAAGAAGTAAGAAATTTATGATTTACGGTGTCCGCTTAAGGCATAATGTCACCTTGTGTGTGCTGAAAATATAGTCATTTTTCCACAAAGGAAAAAAAAATGCAAAAGCTTTATTAATATAGGGATTATTGCGCATAAGAGCACTAGTCCTGAAGTACAGAATTTTCATAGATTAAAAAAATAATGCTTTTTTTCTCCTTCAGCTACTTCGACCACCACAAGGCTGTCTTCAGCAGATCAACAACAGACAAAACAGTTCACAGTGCTTTGGGAAAGGTTCAGTGATAGCATGAAGTTTTCTTCTGAGCTTTGGTATGTGACTTAAACTCTGGTGAATGCAGAGATGAAAATAGCGCCCTTATGATACTCTTTGGAAAAACTTGCTTGAAAATCAACCATAAAACCTATAAAATTTAATTTATTAAAAAAATCTTATTTTGCAGATGCCGTTCACACTGGCCGGCAAACAGCAAGCTCGGGAGATGTGGATACGAAACAAGAGCCTTTAAATTTTGAAGAAATTTTTGTCTTACTACCACAACGTCATAATAAATCCTGAACGTCTAGATTATGTTCAGAATTGTTTTTATCGACAATCAAGCCCTGTAATTAGGTTTAACAATTATCTACTTTTTAGAAGCCGAAGGTGAAGCTGCCTGCTTACGATATTATTACTTACGTATAAATGGGTTTATCCGTTCCTTCTCGATACCAGATTACTAGTTGCACTTTGTCTGTCATCATATTATTGGGCATAAGATCGCATGGTAAAGCGACCTCTAAGCCGACAGCAGTTTGAACTTCAGACAAAGGACCTTAAATGATAAAAGAAAACGAAAAACAAATATGAGAAAATTCGCCTTAATATTATATTTAAATTTATTCAAAAGATGAATGCATTTAATGTTAGATTTGTAAGAAAAACGTTTCTATGATATGCATAAAAATGCTTTTTGCACGAACAGAGCGAGAGACTTATTTCAATTCGCCATAATATTGATATACTTTCGTCCTCATACTGTGCACCAGGCAAAGCAGAAGCATTATAAGAAAGTAAGAACTTTTTGCCTTGATTTCTTTCGGAGGAAAATAAAGTGAAATAATTGATGTGTGAAAAGATTGACAACAAAACTATATTGTAGCGCAGTACACTGGAGTAATAATAATAACAACAAAGTGAAGAAATATTGTACAATTTTTATAAAATTATTGGTTGTTCCGTACGTGACCGACAGCATACTTTCGCATGCAACAGCCTGACTGCTGTATAACAGAAAAACAAATAAAAAATAAAAAAAAACCAACAAAAACAAGAGAAAGAGAGAGTGATAGTGAGAAAGCAAAAGATATATATATGTATATATGTATATACAATTCTGGCAAGTGTAGATGGTATCAATACATCATTAAAAACGATAGCTGCCCAGTAGCAGTTGGTTTCATTACATTCCATATGATTTGCTTGTTGATACGTAACACACTTGCATGAACATAGAATTTAAGTGAAGCTATTGATTTTAATTAAAAAAGTATTTATTTTTTCTCAGAAATACTACTTTTTTTTTTTTTTTTGCTACTGTTTGTCGGTTGTTAAGCACGTGCTTGGTTGACTTTTCATCACATTTCTCTTCTTTTTTTTTTTTTTTTTTTAATAAGACAAATAAGTAATCAGAACCGTGCAATCAATCATAAGAAAAGTTTCATTTTTATATCCATCACAGGAAGTATTCGTTGTGCTTATAGCGGAAAGTACTACTTACTTGTGCAGGCATTCCTCATACAACACATCAGTTGTCAAACACGGTTTCGATAAAACATCGTAGAAAATTTGTGATCACGTTGACACGATTTTGATATAACACGATTTCAAAAAAGTAAGAACATTAAAGTCATGCAAGGCTGACCGCTAATTATCATTTCGCCTAGTACACGCATTCGTTTGGCGAATATTATACGTTATTTATATTATTATAAAAGCCCTCATAATGAAGGGAGAGTTTCCTAAAAAATTTTACTATTCTTCAGTTTCTCTAATAAAAAAGCCGGGAAAGAGTTTCTTCCCATGTAAGGGTTTGTTTTTCATGATAACCACTCCACTTGTTGGGACCTAAAAAATAGACGTAAGTGGTTCAAATCACTTACCGTAAGGTTTTTGGTAAATTGCTGTTAGGATCGCGTTTTCATTACAAAATATTAAGAATTAAATATTTTTCCGGAGAGGGTTACGATTCATGAGAAACCTTATATGGGGCGCAGGTCCAAGTGGTCCAAATTTGCTTCACTCAACTTTGTCAAAAGTCAAATTACTATCATGAACAAATTTTCATCATGAAAGGTTAATAATTAGGCTTTTTTGGCATGTAAAGATTCCTGAGAACACTTTTATCAAAAAATAGACCTAGGTGGTCCAAATACGGTAAAGTTGATTTCTGTGTCAATTTACTATCACCGCGAAATATTGAAAATTACTGTATAAAGATTCAGTTTTCATAGCATCAGTTATATGTGACAACCTACAAGTCGCAACTTCTGAGATATTGCGATTATGTATGGAAACAGTACGTTCTAGCCCAAGAAAAAAAGCTAATGAAAATAGCTCGGATCGGGCCAAACTTTTTCAAGCGTCTCCAATACATATATCCAAACATAACAACCTATTCTAAAAAGTTGTTATACTTATGACCATCTTAAGTGGTGTAGGGTATTTAATGGAAGGCCGTGTTTTCACCTGTTTTCCAATTGTTGTTTGCTTTTATTTTCATTTTATCGTTCAAACAACTTTGAAAAAAAAAAGAATAGCTAATAAGTTGAATTATATACATTACTTACGGGATAGGGCATGTTAAATTGCTGCAGGCATACGTAACACTCGGAAGTCCTTAAGCTAGACTCATCTTTTATTATACCAGACAATTTAGAATCATTTTGTGAGTCGACCTAAATTTGTCTATCCGTCTGTGCCTCTGATGACTGTCCACATAATTTAGTGTTCAGCCTCTATGTCAAAATTTTAAGACATTTTGATAAAATACACGACGTGCCAAAGGCCGAACACTATTGAAAATGATTCGGATCGGTACACCTTTTCGACCACTCCCCAAATAAAGCCTTATTTTGAAAAGTCATTGCAAAAATGTTTCGACGAAACAGTATTTTGACATTTTAAAATGATACGAAAAATTGGGTTCACCCGGGGCACCTCTTTTGTATGAACCCCTCTTACATATGTTTCAACAAAAGCTGGGTTCATATATTTTCAATACTTTATGGAGAAAATCGATTAGTAAGAGTAAATTGACAAGCAAATCAATCTTACCGAATTTGAACCACATAAGTCTATTTTTTGTATACCCCATCCCATATAAGGATTTTCAAGAAATGTAAATTCTTATAAGCCAAGAAAGATTTTCCGAGATAGACCAAATTTGAGCCACATGGATCCATTTCTTGGATCCCACTGCATAGAAGATTTTTCATGCACAGTAAGTCCTTAAGAAAAACCTTTAATATTTAATATTTTATAATGAAAATTGGTCCATAGTCGCGATTTAGCAAAAGGCGACAGTGATAAGGAACGTGGTTCAGATAGATCTACACGTCAGAGCCTACATCTGAAGGTTATCACGAAAGGTAAGACCTTAAATGGACAGGAAGTCTTATTTCTAATTTTTTATGACGGAAACTGAAATGTAATAACATTTTGGGAAATAAATTAGGTTTGCATAATTGCGTCAGGTAATGGTCCGGGGATTTCTCAATATGCGGGCATTCCTGAAAAGCATGCATTTACGTCAAAGTTATGTGTAATATTTGGGGTATTCTTACCAAAACGAGTGAATAATTGTACTAGGCGAAGTGATGTAGGGTATTTACTGGTCGGTCTTTGTTTTTTTTATAATACCTTAAAGTTAACTTACTTTCTCATTTATATTTTTATTTGGAACATAGTTTAGGCGAAGAGAAAATTTTACATCTTAAAATTTGCTTACGTTATAGCACGGTACACATTGTTTTGATTTATATTATATCTAAGCTTCAACTATATTATTCGATATTATATCACACCTGCGCGCATATATCGGTGTTGTTTTGTGATTTGGAGTACACGTCTTTTATATGTTATGCTAATTATGTCATTTTTTAAAGACGTTCGAATAGATTATACTAAGCATATTATTCGTCAAGGGTGTTCCACGACGTGTGTGTGTGTGTGTGTGTGTGTGTTTGAAGCTTTGAGTGCCTTATGCTGTGTATGGAACTGAGGCACAGCTGCTCTCCTACGTTTCCGTTGCAAACTAGGATTATTGCACTTTCGCAACATATCAGGATAAGTGTGCGGTGTATGAAAGTAGGAAAGTCATATAAGCTTTGAGGGAATAATATGATAGCTGCCATCTTGAAAATAATGCAAAAGTATTGTGAAATATTTATTAATTTTTTGCCCGCTTACCGGGCAGATGGCCATAGGAAATTTTTCAACAAAGTTTTGATTAAATGGAATGAACAAAGGAAAGGCTATAGAAGAACAGATTGACAGACGGGACGCTTTGAATCGAATTAAAATGGCCCGTTGATTAAATATATATAAGGGTTAAGTAATAAATTCGTTTGCAAGGATCAAACGTTATGCTTTTCTTTAATTTTTTTGATACCAGAATTAACAACCGAGTTTTCAGTGGTGGTTCGAAACCAGTAGTTAGCAGATTATTCAGTTATTCATCTCATTTGACGCATAATTAATTGATGGTGCTTTACTAACTTTTTTTCCACCACAGTCAGTCGCCAATACATGGTACCTGGTGCTAGAGATTTTCAGTATGAAAACTTCTGTTGACAAAAATGACATAGAAGTTCTTAAAGAAACCCGTCGTTTGGTTTAACTTCAGCTTCATAGAGCACATCTGATCCCAGACAAGACAAACGACCCGAAAGAAAGATGGACATGTGTTCTAACATTAAATCTTGGAAACTCGTCGGAAAAAACGCATGGGAGACATGAATGTACAGCCTATGTATTTCATATTATTTTGGTCACGGTCGTTTGGATATTATAAGCAAATGTTAAAACGTATTCCATGTGCAATACCCCGTAAGTGACGGATATCCTAAACTCTTTTTATACCCATCACCAAATCCTAAATCGATTTAAGCATGTCCCTCTGTCTGCCTGCCCATCTATTGTAAACATTCCCCTGGCCGGAAAAATGAAGCTATCGATTTCAAATTTGGCAGAAACCTTGGAAGTTTTTGCACACAGGTTGGCAATGAAAATGGGCCAATTCGGTTAAAGCACGCGCCAACATCATCACGCGAACTGAGAACATGTCCATTTTTCGAAGAGAACAAAAAATTGGTTTTTTGCTCATTACTCACAAACTACAGCATATAAATCTACAAAGACGTGTAGGCACATTCTATGGGCGAGGTTGTGGCACCTTCACAAAAACGGAAGTAACTGTACCAGGCACTCCCACTATTATAGTGTAGCAAAATTTAATTTTTTCTTCAATACATTCGATAGGGGCAGAAAAAAGTTTCCAAAAAGTATGTAAACTCTGGGCCAGTTTTAAATTTGGAATGAACTTAAACATGTCCGTCCGTCCATGTGCCTATCTGCGTAACAGTGTGGTATTGGTGGTAAACATTCGCCTATAAAGGGATTTGGGTGGAACCTAAACTTTTCGCAGGACACGCCCACAACGCTCACACGTCTATACGACAAAAACCTTTATTTTGAAAATAAAAAAAAATCAGCTGTGCCCACTCTAGATTATGGAGCATGATAATATAGTTTCTTTTCCTGTTCCTAGGATAA